TTTTTGTTCTCTCTTCTTCTTTCTTTCTTCTTTTTTTTTTTTTTTTTTATCTGTTGATTTGTTTTTGGATTGAAATAAGTTTTTTTAATGATTTGATTAAGTGGACTCAAGTTTGATGCAATGTTAACATAGGAAAAAGAAAAATGGATGAATACTTTTTTCTTCTTAGTTACTGTTTCTATTTTGTTTTTGGATTTGATATAATAAATGAGATAAGAGCGAAGATTAATACATTTTCATGAAATAAAGAGAGAAATGGATGGATTTATTCTATCCTTTTTTTCGATTTTTCGATTCGTTGATTTTTAAGATTGGACGAATCGTGAATTGATTTTCAAGTGAAGAGTAGATGAATTTAATGAAGTTAGTAATGCAGTTTTTAACAGAGAAATAGTTGAATTTTTTTTTATTCCTTTTCCCTCTTTGTTTTTTCGATCGGTTGGTTTGTTTTGTCTTTTTTTTGTTTTTATTTTTTTTAAATTCGAATTGAGGAAATAGTTTTTAGCGTAGGAAAGAGATAAATGGATCCTTTTCTATTCCTTTTTTCTCTTTTTTTCTTTGATTTATTGGTTCGTTTTTTGAATTCGATTTGAAGTGAGATTGATTTTCTTTTGTAAGGATTAGATGAGTTTAGCGAGGATATGGTTTTTAGCGTAGGAAATAAACAAATTGATGGATATTTTTTTCCTTTTTATTCATTTTTTCTCTTTTTTCTTCTATTGTTTCGTTCATATATTTCTTTCATTGCTTCGATATTTTTAAGAGGATTTAAATTTTGAACGTTTCTTTCTGAAATTGTGTGCAATTATTTCATTAAGGAAAATGGGATTAAAACTTCAAAAATTTCAATATTACAACGATCTCATCTTATTCTCCTCGTTCTGTATCCTATTGAAAATCTATTTTATATATAATTATGCGAAGGAAACGAGATCAAAGCTTATTTGGCTTATAAAAGAAGATGGTATCTTGAAAGGAATTCTTGGAAAATATTGTTACAATGATCGATACCAAGAAAATTTGCTGTTTCATTCGTTCTAAAACAAAGTGAAAAAATACATTCTTGTGCATACTTGTGTGCATCTTTTGAAGAAATGAATAGACATTTGAATATATGTGTAACGTGTAAAAATACATGTAATTGTTACACATGGATCGTTTCATATTTCAGGTTACAAGTATTGTCAAAATCCAATTACCAAAGTACCAAAGAATTATCATTTATTATTGGTTTTTAAAAAAATTCTCGTACAAATGCTCTTTCAAAAAAATAATCAATGAACAGAAGTATATACTTTTATCCTTTAATATTAATAAAGTATTCAAGAAAATATTTCCAAAATACTTAATAAACACTCGTTATAGTTCAAGGATCATCTAATAACGTTATTCTTCTAATATTCTTCCAAGTTGAAAAAATTTTCTCGTTGCAATTCTCTTCAAGCAAAGATGATTCAAATAAATATTATTCATTTCGTCAAAAAAAAAAAATACCTTCTTCCAGTCTCCTCAACTAATTAAATATCTTATTGTATTTAACACAAATGAAATCGAATATCTTCGTTAGATTCTGAAACAAGAGAACAACTCATTGATTTTTTCACATGAAAAAAAAATATTGATGACATTGTTAATAAACTGAATCTGAAGTTATTATCTGAAGCAGAAAAAAAAAAGAAGAAGAAGAAGAAAAAGAAAAAATAGCTAAAATGACCGAAAATGTTCATCTTTCATCCATCAGAGTGTTGGTAAATAGAGTTCGGTTGTAGTTGCCACATAGTTGGGGGTTGAATTGAAAACTCGCGCAGGGGTTGCAGAAAGGAAAGGCCGTTCGATGGAAACTTTGTTGGAAAGTAAACACCATCTGGGCGGAGCTGTATCTGCAAAATTTGATAGTTAATTCCGATTCGACGACTTTTCGTCCAGCTTTTGTGCCCCCTCCTTGATGAGCGCCCTCTTGAAAGAAGGTAATAAAACGTAGCTCGAATCGATATTTAAGGCCAACTTTTCCACATTCATCCGTTTGCATGCGTTTCGGGAACGACGACTGGTCATCGTTTGGAAAACTCGTGTAAAGATTTTGGATGAAGTGATGAGTGAAAAAGATGATATGCATTATTTGTGATAATTATCACGAGACATTATATTTGATTTTCAAAGTGAAAGGTATTTTTTTATTTTTGCAATAGTATTAAGAGGACAGTGATAATTATTCTCTGAACATTTTTGTTATACTTTTTTTTCAAGGAATATAACGCTGTTCATATTTCGATAAAAATAATACATAAATAAATATATGATATAATATAATAAAGTATCTTAGTAGATAAAAGTAATTTCATAATTTTTAATGAATCATTTTTAAGAATATATAATATAAAAATAATAATAAAATGTTATAACACGTATTAATGAAACATATATAAAATAATATATAAAATTTCATAATTCCATAATGAACTATTAACTCTTTATAATAGATTAAAAAATATCCCAACTTTTTAATACTCTGGTATTCGCGTTTTTCGACTCTCCTCTTTGAAAAATTAAAATAATTAAAAGTATATAACTGTACAATTGAATTGTTCATAATTCCATTTCATGATTAAATATCTGCTTAATCTATTTTTTATATTTTGTTAAAAATATAAAATTATTTCAATATTTCCAATTTGCCACTTTCGCAATTCTTTTTTTTACCCTAAAGATTTATGCCTCAAAAATT